GATCTAAATGTCTGTAAAGGAAGCAATTTTACTTTCTGACGGTGAGAATTATGATAATTTTTATAGCAGGAGACTTTGGGCAAGATACGTTTCAATAGGTCTCTCTGAAAATACGAACAAGTTGCGATAACAAGGTCAGCCTGCGACCATACCAAAGATTACATCATCTTTGTCTTCATATCTTAGATCATACTCTTCTGTAACTGTTGATTTCACGTCAATTTTGAGTAAAATTGTGCGCTGGATCAAGATATCTGAAGGTCGATTCCACCAGAAGACTCCGCTTTAATAGATGTCGGTTGGCTTCACTGTAAACTTGCTGTGGACTCTGTCCTCGAGGCAATCTACCTGGATTCCAGGATGACTCATCGTCTTCTGATGAAGTCGATTTTCAAATTTCTTATCAGACAAATACTTATACACAAAATGAATGTGAGCTCAACAAGTGTAAGCCAATAAATTACACGAGACCCAACATCCCTCTTTATTTTCGGTGGGGAAATAGTAAAGTTGATCAGGAAAGTGTAGAATGCTTTGCTGAATCCAACCAGAGAATACGAGCATTGCGGGCTTCTTGAAATTAACAATAGATTTATTAAGGCCTACCTTTCTGGAAGTAGCCATAAATGACGTAACCTCGCTGTTTGAGTGCGACGATCTAAATGCCTCGTGATACAGAACATGGATGACTGAAGCTCAGTGCAACGAGTCCCGCCGAAAAGTAGGCAATTCTGGTCGCCAATACCGAAGCCTTACGTCGAGGGTATAGTCAATTCACAATTCACAAAGTCATTACGGGCAGTCTAAATTGGATGAAGTAAATTCATGCCAAAAAATGGTTAGAGAAGTACCATTTAGTGAATTGATCTTCTGCTCATTTTTCTGGTCTCCAGAATGCGACATAGGATTTGACTCGGGCAGGCTTTTTCTAGCCGCCTTATGCTCGTCGCACAAGCTGTTACAACGAATTGTAGTCACAGTGTGAGCCGAAGTGAAGGCCCTCACGACAATCCTTTCATAGGCGAGCAGTTGTCGAAACCTGGAGTACATAAAACCGGGCAAAGGAAGGTACAATCGGGAAGAGAATATGTAAGTTAAAAGGTGGGTTCAACAAAAGCATTTGTCGCCCCTTAAACTTTCTAATGAATAGGAAGGTTATACGGCATAATCCTTGAAGTTCTGACTAGTATATGCAATAATTATTCTTATCTTATTAATTATAGTAGAGTTAAATAATGGATCATAAATGTTTTATGA